GAGTGGTTGGAATGTGTTGCCCTTGTATCTTGGCGATTTGGTTTGCAGTCTTTATGACCTTCTAGTAGGTGTGGTGGCCTTCAGGGCAGCGACCCTCTGTTATTGGGTGGAGCAATGGTGTGTCGGTGTGCAAGGGATGAGGAGGCCCCTTCCTCGTGTGGAGAAGCTCTATTGTGGACATGACATCTAGGTGGACAAATCGACTATAGGTGGTGAGACTATGTGACTCACACCCGCCTGTGGTTTGTATTTGACGTTGTGATCAAATTGAGTGACACTAGTGGCAACAGTGAGACTTGGTAACTCACAACATTGTCTTTGGTTGGCGGTGGCTTTGTGCAGTAGTCCAACATCATAGTAGTGATTGAGTGGCATAGGGAAACTTTGTGACTCCATTGTCTTTAGTTGACCAAACACCACGACTGGAATAGGTGACCAGGAGCGTACCTCGCTAGACCCCCAATGTGGAGTAGGGCTTGTAATTTAGCAATCAATATCATGGGATATATCGTTGTGTCTCCAAGAGTTTGCCCTCTCAAACTTGAGCTCTTTATAGCTTTCTCTTGTGGTTTACTCGTGTGACATTTACCTTGCAAAACAAGTTATAGACTAGCTCATAGGATGGGCTCTAGGTCACAAAACACTTTTTGGTTGTGAGCAAGTTAGAGCATGCTAGAAAAACCTTAAGTGCACTTCTAGATAGAGTAGTTTATGATTTTTCTAGTGGTTGTTTAATTTTAGCCCTAGGTTTTAAGCTTGAAACTAGAGATCAAATTCACTATTCCACTTGTAGACTCCCTTTAGAGCGTGACTCTAGTGGTGACTGAGCGGATAAGGCTCCTTGCAGGGGCATAGGTGTGGCCTGACAATCGCGATTGAGAGAGTGTGCAACCCTTAAGGCGCCCTCAACGATCTAGAAGTGTGGCGTGCATGGGAGATCTACTTGTGCCATTAGTGCCCGCGACGACGCAACAGTTGGTGCAGGTCAACCTGGCAAGGAGTAGATGTATCACGTGAGGGTCAATCGATTGCTCCCCCGTCGATCTTCCCAACAGCAGGTCCTCAAAATTTCAGTATGATTGATGTGTCTTTTACCTTGCCTCATCGTTATTCATCTCCGACGCCCTCTGAAGGGCTCCGATTCTTATAGGGCCATAGGTCTATGACAATCCATAATGCACGTGCTAATGAGACTCTAGAGGTGTAACGAGTTTGGATCTAGGAAAGGGAGCAGAACAAAGCTACCTCGTCCAACACGAAGACAAAACGGGCGACAACACACATTGATTAGGAAACAGACAGACGAGCGTAACTCGAGCAAATGATATAACGGATGAAACAAATTAGTGGTGAAAAATATTTATTGAAAGAATACGACCAAGTGGTTTAGTATTAGAGATAAAAGCATAAGTAACAAACAAAAACGAGAGGTACACTTGGGAAAAAAACAAAAACTATGGAAAGAAAACTCAGAGTAGACGGAAACTTTGGGAGAAAAGAAGGAAAAACACGAAAATAAGATAAAATGAAGGGTCCGAAAAAGAAAAAAGTAGAAGCAAAAACAGACAAAAATAAAAGACAGAACCAAGTGAAAAACGGAATCGGAAAGGAAAATGCAAAAAAGAGATTCACTATAAAGGTTTGAAGGTATTAGAGGCTAAATAGAAAACGATTCGTTTGCTATCACATGAGTTTACATTGGCTGGCGGTTAGCAACTGTTATCTCCATGGTGGAGGTCAGGGTCCGAATCCTCGCGTGGCTGGAATTTTTGGCTCGTTTTCCTGTCGCGGCCGATTTTTCCCGTACGACGTCGCACCCAGACCAGGCCCAGCTAACGATTAGCGCTACAAAAAATTGACCTGATGGAGTGGATTGGGCTGAAAAAATTGACCGGATGGGTGGAGTGGACTGGGGCGAGCGAGTGGGCCGGTAGTTGGGCGACGATGAATGGGCCAGACGAAAAACGGTCCAAACCAAGAACGAGGCGGAAATTTTGCTTTTTTATTATTAGGTGTAGATTAACGTGAACTCTCTTGTATACTACTCCTTCCATTCTCTTTTATATATATATAAAACGTACACATGTATCAAGATTCAAACTTTATAATCTTTTACCAATAATTTGACTAACACTTTATAGTTATTATAATATAAATTTGGATCGATTAATTTGTCGTTAAATATATTATCTAACTACCACAACTTTGTAAATATAAATAATGTAATATAATGTAAATAAATGATCAAAGTATAATTTCAGAGACCGTGACATACTAAACTATGCCTTGTAAAAAAGAACGCAGAGTATTTGACAAATATTGTTCTTAAATTGAAGGTCCTAGTGTGTGTACTTGAAGTAAAATACAAATCATGAGTTCAAACAGTATATCCCATCAATAAACAACCAAATAAATGACAGCTTTAGGAGTGAAGTCATTTTTTTTATCCCATTTGACAGGGCTTGTTAAGAAGGCGAAGCCAAAAAAAAAGGGGGGGGAGCCAGAGAGCATGATGCATACAGTACTTACCTTATCTCTCCCGGTTCTGACACCTGGATGCCAGAGAGCTGAGGTGCCACTACCAGCAGCAGCAAGAGGCTGACGTATGCTGAACTGGCCATGGAGGAAAGATCGATGAACAACTGCAGAAAAAGACGCCCATAAACATAGTGAACATAAACTAGAGCTCCTCAACCTCAAATGCATGGAAGGATATGCAGAGGCCACGAATCCTTCAGAGGATGTGCTCACCTGATATAAAGATGCACAGCACGGCGGCAGGGAGCTCGCACGTTGATGGCAATACTCGATCTCCTAGTAAGTATATATATATGCTGCAACCCCTGCAGAAAGATGTGTCGTTAGGTAGCACGTTCTTCGTTTAATGTTTGGAACATGAACAGTGTGCTCACCGGCTGTAGCGAAAATCTATGGCGAGCGGCGTTGCCCCTCGATCTGCCGGCCGGAGCAGTCCGGCCCGGGAGAGACGACGGCGCGAACACTCGCCCCCGCCCCCGGCCAGTCGTGTGATTTAACTTCACGCCCCCTGGTTAGTTTGGTCATGCAAAGGACACGCGTGGCGTACGGTACTACAGTGTGCGCGCGCGCCCGGCTAAATGAAAAGCTGTCTGAAGAAGCACACGCATATGCTACTAGTACATACGTACATATCATATATAAATAAACAAAATGATTAAAAAAAACAAATGTAAATGTTGCTTCGCATGATGCTGTGGTGTAGAGACGGTAGGACCTGAAAATGTCAGAAAATGCTGAAATTTAATATTTACTAGCAAACATGTACATAATGCACGTACATGTAGAGAAGGTCTATGTACAAAAAAAAACGCACTGGGTGAGTGTGCATGATCCAAGAGCTAAAATTAAAGGTTTTAACAAAGTTTTTAGGAAGTTAAATTTGCTTACTGATGCTGATTATTCTAATAAGATGATGGAAACTAGAACTTTTCTTTTCAAACTTTATCATAAGTATGATGATTTGTATGGCTCTGTTAGGGCGAAAAGGCCTGACCCTCCAAGCCTATCTGGTAAGAAAAGAACAGCTTGGACTGAAATATATGATGATGATGATGATGGCGGTGGTTTGCTTGGAGCTGGCTGTTCTTCTCTTCCTCCTAATCTTGATATGTCCAGGACTATTCCTGCTACTACTTTGTTACATGCAGCAAGTTCATCTAACACTGGTTCTGAACTTTTAGCTTATCTGGACTGTGACACAGTTAGCCAGATGGATGATGACTTCAACATCTTGAATTGGTGGCATCAGCATAAACTAACATATCCAGTTCTTTCTACCCTTGCTAGAGATGTTTTCAGTGTGCCTATTTCTACCATTTCTTCTTAAACTACTTTTAATACCACGGGTAGGATCATTGAAGACCGGCGGCAGAGGTTGAACCCTAAAACTGTGGAGGCACTCACATGCATCAAGGACTGGGAAGCTGCAGAGACAAGGCTACAACATATGGTGGAGAATAATTAGTCATTTATGTAATAGTTCTGTAATCCTAAGACATGGATGCTTTGGACCTTTGGTTATGGATGTAATGAACAATTGAACTTATGGAGCTAGTTGCACTCTTTTTCCCTGTCTAGGGTTTCTTACAAGGGTGAGTTTTACCTAGACAGGTTTTTAATGAGGTAGCCATTGCACGGCTCCTTTAATTTGGTATTTTGTTATCTCTGTCTTGTGTTTTCTTCTTTGTGATTTCAAATTCATCAGATTTCAAGTTTATTTTTTGAACTGTTCTTTTGATTCTGATCTGTTGAAGTGGTAATGTGGTTTTAGTGCCAAGGCACGGCACTAATCCGCTGGACTGTCGTGCCCTATGGCACGGCACGGCACTATCTGAGGGCTTTAGTGCCGTGCCTGGGCTAGAGTCTGGGCACAGTGACGCTACACGGCACGGCACGGTAGTAACACCATGCCTGATAGTGCCGTGCCGTGTAGTGCTAGTGCCGTATAGTGCCAGTGCCGCCGGTTTGGAAAACTATAGGCCTAGGCAAAACTACGTACTATGCTGGCATCATTCCTGCTTGCTTGCCAACAGGGGAAAATAAAGATTCGAGGTCATGATTAGGAGCTGGGGAAAGAGGGGGAGGGTGAAAAGTTGCTGCATGTTTATAATTACCACGGTGATGTGCTCGCTGAGACACTGACAGCCGGATTACTTGCAGCTTAAAGCATGATTTTGTATGATCTGAGGTGCGTTCGGACACGACTTCAGATCCTGCAGAACCCACACGGAGACGGAGACGGAGACGGAGACGGAGACGGAGACGGACTCGTGAACTCCTGATCCAGCCTTTGATTCCGATTCCAAGACGTCATGATCGAGCACTGTACGTATATCCCGCCCATAAATAGGACACGTACGGGAAGTTAAGGTCGGTGGAATCAATCATTCAAGACGCCCGGCCGCAGAGGAGCGAGCGGCGCCGTGGACAGACAGAGAGATCTCTCGATCGAGTCCATCTCGATGGAACAGCATGACGACGAGCAGCAGGACCTGGCGGCAGTGCCAATGCCAACAGCAATAACGCTGATACCCGACGACGTTCTCGCCGATGTGTTCCGCCGCGCCTCGCCGCGTGGGCTCGCCGCGTGCCGCTGCGTGTGCAGGGCATGGCGCGCGCTCATCGACGACCGCCGGCTGCTCCGCGCCGACCTCCTCCCGCTGTCGCTGGCCGCCCTCCTGCTCTGCCTCAACGTGGAGTGGGACCGCCCGGAGCTGTTCGCGCGCCCCGGCGCTGACGTCACCGGCTACCTGATGCCCCGCCGTACCACCGGGATCGACGACCACTGCAACGGCCTCATCCTGATCAACCACGACGTGCTCAACCCGGCCACGGGCCGGGTCGTGCGTCTGCCCAAGTGCCCCCCGTCTCCGCTCTGGGGGGATCCACACTTTTTCTTCCAAGACCGCTATCTCGCCTTCGATCCCGCGGAGTCACCGCACTACCAGGTGTTCTGCATCCCCATGCTGCTTACTCGCAATCGCAAGGAGGAGCCTGCGTACAGGGCCATCTCGCAGTGTGAATGGCCACCGTCGCCGTTCTTCCTCAGCGTCTTCTCGTCGATGACGGGGCGGTGGGAGGCGAGGTCGTTGGTCCGACAAGGTGGAGCCGCAGGAAGTGTCGACGACATGGATGTCCAACTGTCATATGAACATGCGCACTCAGCGTGCTGGAGGGGTGCACTCTACGTGCATTGCCAAAACTATTTTGTACTGAGGATATCATTGTCAGAGCATACGACGACGTACCAGGTGATCCAGCCACCAAGAGAGCTGGAAGGCAAAGAATGCAGTGGCCGCGGTCGTCTAGGGAGGTCGGAGAAGGGAGTTTACTTTGCATGCTTTGATCGCGAATCGCACCTTTGCGTTTGGATCCTCCATGACGACTCCTCGTGTGGTCACATGGAATGGATACTGAGACATCGAAGTGCTTATGGACTAGCCCTGCCGAGCTCACCAAGATCGTCCTGGACCTTACACAATGCTTTCCGATCTGAAGATGGCAACGCCGACGCACAAGAATGGGATTCTGATGACGATGATGGTGAAGAAAGTACTCTCCACGCCGAAACGGAAGATAGGATACAAGAGCGGCTTGTTGATTGTGAAATACTTGCGCTCCATCCTTACAGAGAGATTGTTTTCATGTTCACGGAGGCACAGTCCAGAGAAGTGACGTACGCGTACCATTTGAAGAGCTCTAAACTTGACAATTTGGGTAACCTGTTCCCAAAAGACGGCACACCTACGCCTGGCTGTTTTACCTTGGTGGAAAACGCTTTCCCGTACACACCTTGTTGGATCGGAGCGCCCTAGGAAATTTCAATAACTTTTTTTTTGTCATATTTGACTTTGTATGTACGGTCTTGGATGCATATTTTTTACCGGGAATCAGTAGGGGTGCATGTGTGGTACGCACGTTTCTTTGGATGTGGTATGCTACAAATAACAAAAAAAAAATTCATATATGCCACCGAAGAAAACCTGTATCCCGAATCAGCCACCTAAAAAACTTAAATCCCGTCAATGCCACTATTCATAAATTCTAATCTCTTTCGTGTCACTATTGATCATATTCCGATAGTTTGGCTTATAGACATTAAAAAGACCAATTTGCATGTCCTCTCAGTTGGACACAAATTTAGTTGCTCCCTTTTATGCACCCTAAGTGAGCACATGATGTAGATTATTATACTAGTATAGTACGTAACCTAGGAACCTTAGAAAAAATTGTTCACTTGAGACCTAGGTACGTACATATGAGTGTCATTAGGCTTGCCCCTCCACAGCCGTTGGCACACTCGCAACCGAGCAATAGCACGAGCACAACGCCGTGGCCGCAACCAACAACCACACGGCCCACCATCGCCCACACAGTGAGCAATATATACATGAGTCGATAGCCCAACAGCCCACACCATGTTGGAAAACTCCCCATACACACACCTTCGAGGCGTTCGGCTGTACTACTTCCCACTTATTTTAGCTTGTTTTAGCTTATTTTCTCTCACAGAATATTTTTTAACCATCCGAAATAATCCAAAATTCACTATTCCACCTACCAGCTTGTTGGATTGGAGCGCCCGAAATCTCAATAACCTTTTTTTTGTTATATTTGACTTTGTACGGTCTTGGATGCATATTTTTCACCAGTAATTTGGACAAGATTGGGAAGACTTTAAGCCATGAAATCTTACTCGAGAGGCGGGCAAGTGAAACTCCCGCTAGAGAGCAAAAAGGAGATGTTATTGCTATTATCCAGGGCATTAAACAACAAGGCTGATTTCTCCAATAGGCCTAGTTAAGGTGGATTCACCGAGGCAATCAGAGGTTAGAGCTTGGAAGGCTAACAAAATCAAGAATTCCAGCAAGGAAATGTAATTACAATCAACTTTTGACCAACTTATAAACAAGTACAGCAAGCGATAGACGGATTCGGTGAATCCGCCAATACGAAAAGAAGTCCGGTCACCTCTGAAGCAAGTTTATGTACACAAAGAGAAGGAGGTTGCTGCTGCTGCTACGGAGGTCATCTAGTAAACATCTCTTATAATTGGCTCCATGAAAGTCCCACTCAATGAAGTTGAAGAGCCGATTGCAGTGAGAATCGGGCTCAATCCTCTATGCAAAAGTGCATGTAGGAGTTGCTGCTAATACGAAAGCTCCTAGAATCCGCGCGCTCACGGCCATCCTGCCTACTGTTTATGTACGGCTTTCCAATCCGCGTCTGCCACGTTGCCATGCCGTGCTCCTGGTTGCCGGTCTTTCCGGTCGGTGTTAATGCGTGTTCAGACGCTACTGTAGGCCAGTCTAGTTGCGCCTGCGTGGTGTTCGTGCGTGTCCCGACCTGTGTGCTTTGGTGGCCCAATGTTCAACGCAAAATGAATTGCGCTGCGGTGCGAAATCATGCTTCTACCCGTCGTTTCTTTCTCGCAGGCTCCGTCGCCTCCTCCGCCCCCGCCTTTGGCACCTCCGCCGCCTAACACTGAATCCCGATCGCCGCCGCCACTGCTCCCCCAAGTTGGAAGAGGACCATACTTGTCATCGGCCTCGCCTCGCGCAATCCGCCTCCTACAGGTGTTGCCTCCCTCCACTTCTTCTGGCCATTGCCGCATCCTTGCCTTCTCCGCTCATAGCAGGGAGCCCTGCCCCCTTCTTCCTCACGGCCGATAGGGGCGCCGCAAGGTCCCTAGGCACCGCAGAACCTCTGACTTCTCGACTGCGCTTTGCCGCTCGGTGGCCAGATCCGGTTTGCCAGATGTACGCTCATCAGTCTACCATCGTCGATGCGGCCGCTTTTGCTTCGCCGGTGTCGCTGTGGGTCAGACGACCATTTTCGGTGCAGTTGCCTCCTGCGCCACGCGCGATGGCTCCATGGGGGCTTCGTCGTCGGATCCAGCACAGACGTCGCCATCACCTCCTCGGTCATGCCCACTGAAATGACCAGCGACAGCCGCACGGTGAGATTTCTCCTTTCTCCCCTCTTCCCTCCCCATATCCTCCACTTCCATTGGCTGGCGAAGGTCGGGGAAGGCCGCCTCTATGCGCATCAGTCTCCGTGGTGGCAAACCGGGACGGCGCGGCTGCACGCTCCGCTGTCGCATGGCCGCCTCACCGAGCTGGCCTACTTTATCTCGCTCTCACCTTTCCCTTGCGTCCTTGCCCTACTCAGTGTCTCCGGAGCAGCGGTTTTCAGCGCCACCGGCCGCTGCTGAAAGAACCACGCTGGTCCATCCCCCGATCCCCGACAGCACCAAGGCCATCTTCGCGTCTAGGACGCCTCCAGCCTGTGCTGGTAAGGGCCCTCCTCACGTCATTCCAGCCTTTCATTTGAGGAGAGGTCCCTGTAGGCCCTGATGCGTTATCTTCTCTTTAATTGTTGCTTTGCTTTTCTTCTTCCCCAAATTATTGCTGCGGTACACAAGGATTTGAGACTGTTGCTTGCTGCCCATGTGACTTGCTGTCTGCGATCATAAATCAATAAATGTCCTCACCCCAGTATCCATTCCTATTAGCATGTTTCAATTTCAGTTTGGTGATTAGATATATTAGGGTTCAGTGTCATTATCACTTTTATGATTTACCTTCATAGTTTCAGGTTGAAGCCCTACCCTTTGATCCAAAGACAAGACCTTCATGAATTAATCTACACCCATGTTTTAAAGGCGGCTAGGCGTCCAGCGAGTGCTTGGTACGCCTGGACGCCTAGGCGGCGCCTAGGCGACAAGGCGCCACTGTTTCCCAAGGCGAGCTGGGTACGCCTGGACGCCTAGGCGACGCCTTTAAAACACTGATGTACACTGCTATACTGTTAATTAGGCCAAGCTCATGGTACTGGATCCACTGCTGCGCTACCCCTCCAGTCATTACTAAATCAACTACTTACAATTGTTAAAGTAGGGCTCACACCTTTATTTCTACTGAGATGTTATAAATCCTAGGTAGCCAAGAGTGTTAATTGTTCCTACTGACACATGATAGCAATTCAAGGTTGCTGAGAGTTGGAAATTTATCTGTCCCTTTTAGTCATGGTCCATGTCTTACGAGTAACTGCCAAATTGCTTTATGTCAAGAATAAATGATTATCATACACTATTTGTTTCCATCTTTTGTTTTATTATACTATTTCTTGCAATTGTGATATGGTCAATGGCTCAATGCTCAAACAACTACACACATTTCTATCACATGCGTATTGAGGTTTCTGAATGCATTTGTATGCTTTCTGGACCAGGTACATCACCTGAGTATCCATGTTTTTTTAGTTAATGCTACTGACATCCTCTTTCACGCATTGGCAGTTAAGGCTATGTTCGGCTGCCATTATAAGCCGGCTTATAAACCGGCTTATCAGCCATGGTACAATATTTTTCTCTCCAAACAAATCAGTCGTACAAATCAGCACAAGCAGCTTATTGAGTACGTATCCGTGCTACAGAGCTTTCCACAAATTATCTAATAAGGCTCTGCCAACAATTTCACTTAACCTTCAAGACTTGAGGTAGTCTCCTCAACCTTTCAATTTGTTGATTTAATTTTTCTTTTTGCTTATTTGTGCCCTATCTTTTTTGCTTCCAAATATGTATGACATGACAATTACTATGCTAATATAACTAAGGAGACACACTATGATTCTTGTTTAGAATTGCTTCTAAAATATTTTTTTTTCTATTTTACCTTCTGTATACTCATGCCAACTGAACAATGTCAATATATTTTTTTACCAAATGAAATAGTATGGATGACTAGGTTTACCAAATTTATTTGCAGTCCTAGAAAGGAAACTGCTGATTTCTTTTTGCCTTTGGCATTTTCAGCTTCCATACCCATGTCAGCACCAGAATTGGATTCAGACAAATGTGCTTCCACCTTTGTCTCTGTTTACTCAACCTTAATTGTCGATCAAATCTCATATGTAGCTGATTTAGAAGACAATGGGAACAAATTTTCCATCTGTTCCATCCATCAGCTTCAGATACATCAAACCTTTTTCTCTTTCTGCACGTAGCATTTGATTGTTAGTTCAAAGAAGCTATCTGTGTTAGCTAATTTGTTCTGCAGTTATTTGGAGACAGTTAGTAATCGCAATAATACACCATTGGCCTGCGTGCTTCATCAGCATCAAACTGGAAGTGACAGCGAAACATCGTACTATGTACGTGTTCTCCTGAAAAAAAACAGCTCGACTTACTAACGTTATCTAATTATGAAACATCGGAAAAAAGCAGCTGCATTACTTACTGTATCATGTTATCTAACTATGAAACTATGTTATATAAATATACAAAAGATCAGATTTAGAAAAGCCTTTTTCTTTCTTTACTGAATTGCCCTTCCATGCAAATGGCATCACCGCATCAGGATCTTTTGAGGATGCGGCCATATCAACATACAGATTGCCAGGGCAAGCACTAGGCAACTGCATCATGTCTACAATTACCAAACCGACACAAGGTATTAAAAAAAGAAAACCATCTAATTTACCTTACCCATTATTTTTTTCCATTGCTCATTTCATAGCATGACATGGCAGTCCAATATTTTTTTTTCATTGCTCATTTCGTAGTATGACATGCCAGTCCAAGAGAAACAACTGTAATTACCTTTATCAAACCAGGATGCTGAAGCCTTCCATCCTAAACGCTATTTGACCAAGGCGCACCCCTGCTTCTTGGTCAGTGTTGTCTGGGTCAAGTACAAGTACAAGGTGATAGTAGTCATTAAATTTTGCTGATCAGATGTTATAACTTTATTCTTTCCCATATTTTTGTGTCCTAGCAAAATGGTAGTAATAAATTAGAACTACAGAGGAATGACAAATCCATGCTTCTAATGCATCTTCCTGTATTTGTTAAGATGCAACTAATAAGGTAATTAATAACCATATGTCTCCATTTGGATTTGGATAAACTCATATGTGGCTGTCTTTAAATTGTGGAATCATTTCCCGGATGTGTGAAAGTTTTCCATTCACTTCGTTTTGTTATGTTACTACGTGTCTATGTTTGTTATTACGCCCCTATTCAACATATCTGACAAAAGGTCTCACATTTCTTGCAGATTTTAGTCAGCCGTTTATTTGCTGGCTAGCGGCATGTCAGGTTTCTGCATCGAGATAGTCTGTAACGGATCCATTTTTACATCAAATGGAAGTACTAATGTATGAGGAAACAACCATTCCCAGTGTATTGCCCCCTTTAGGCCTTCTCTTAATATTTGAGTTTTCAGAAATTCAGAGTTGTAGTACCTGCCATATATGAGAGAAGACAAGGTTTATGTTCATAAAATGCAAATTGAAGTTGCCCACTGTTGCGTTATGCTCATGCTATGAAGCTTAGTGCCTAAGGATAGCTAATTAAACAAATATATATAGGCATATGCTTCACGAACGGGCGCAGCGGAGCGCGCCTATCTTCCTAGTGATAAAGATGGAGCCGAGTGCAGCAAGCAAGACTCCAGATACTTCCATCCAAGGTGTCTTTCGGGGCTTGACCAAAGATACAATGACGCAAGCTACAGCATGCTCGCTGTAAGAAAATCAAGCAGGATGCCTAGAGCTGCTTGAAAGACAACCGATATATATAGACATGTCACCCTTAGAACAGTACGGGCGATTTATATATCGTGCCTTAGACAGAAAAAAAAGGCAATGAACTAGACATCACAGCTATGGTTGTCATGTGTTATTAAACTTGCATATGGTTTACTTAAAAGTAGACGGATATGTTGACAACCAAAATATGACTGGTAAGTTGAAGATAGATTGGAAAACATGTGCATACAAGAAAACAACAAAAATCATCAAATTTGGATGAAATTGGGAAAAATTGCAAACTTTCATAAAAAACCTGGATGGACCAGTTTTGGAAGGGTTCCGTAGCGGTCAGTAAAAATCAGCCTAGGCCGGTTCTAGAAACTAGTGTAAGCTGGTTTTTGGCGGTGTGAGCCCCCAATTGTGTGTTTTTTTCTTTGTAAACTCATCCGATCTCATGGGAAACTTGTAAAGTGTTATGTGTGAAATAAATTTCCTACTGTGATGAGACCACCACCCTCAATTTATATAAAAGGATCATATCCAAGAGATCCATCTATCAATCGTCGAAAACACGCCTGACTTTCTTCTATGCCAATAATCCGCGTGATTTTTTACTGTTCTCGTCAACAAGGGCAGTAGCACAACAGAATCACATCCATCCAATGAAGTTACATGCGCCTATGCAATGTCATTGTCATGTTTTTTTATGAAATGTCATTGTCATGTCATTAAATATCTATCTGTCTATATATATATATATATATATATATATATATATATATATATATATATATATATATATATATATATATATATATATATATATATATATATATATAATACCGCTGTTAACATTGTCATCGCCAAAACATATACTTCATTCATATTGTTGAACAACGACACGTACAATTCACTGTTATTACATCCATTTATGTAATTGGTGGTTCTTTTTATTTGCAGCTTCAAAGAGGTACGCTACCATTGACTTCAATTACATCTTAGATCCACTATATTATTCAGCTAAGCATTTGCATTCCTGCAGTTACATCATTCAGAGAAGTCCCTAGCTAGGTTGCACCACTTATCTATCATCACAAGATGCCTTCGGATCCTCAGGATCGTAACCACTGGGCTGTAGCAGAATGGCGATGACATTGATTGCTTGTTGATCATCCACGATATGGATATCCTTCAGATCATTATAACCCCTAAAATCTCCCAGTGGGTGGCCATGGAGGGAGCACAACAATAACATCGAGATTTTGGCCCAGTTGTTGATGTAGTCGTTATATTTCTTTTCATCAAGGTACCCTATAGTTCCTGATTCCAAAATTGTACCAATCTTTTCACGGATCGGTAAGAACCTTAACGATTCCGCTACCGTTACAGCGAACAATCCCAATGACGACGGAACCTTAGGATTGAGATTAGACGGGTCGTTAGTACCCAAGGTGCTGACAGCTTCCAATGTTGGAGCCTTCCCTAGGGCCAAGTTAGCCAGTTTTTGTTTAGTTGTGCTCCCTTCGATTGCTTGTAGGAGATCGCTATATTTATATCCAAATGGCAGTA